AATCCAGAGTGTTAGCAACCATTTCAAATACATGAGGATTAATGTTTAATTTATTATTTTACTATTTAGTAGTATACACACTTTTTAATTTTTTTAATCTAATTATTAACGGGTTTGCTGTTAAGACGTACTTTAATTGGTTTTTGACAAATCGACTTTCAATGATATTTGTAATAATCTCAAAATCTGCATGGTCGAAGAAAATAATGTTTTATCGGGAGTAATAAAAAAACATAAACTTGAAATCGTAAAAATATATACATGTATAAATCACCAGCCTATTAATGCAATAGAGAGAATAGAATATATATCGATATCAAGAGGGACCAGTGCGCCATGGTGAATGTTGAAGACTTCCGATAGATTCGGAACCAACAGCTCTTCGTGCTATACCGCAGAGTACGAAGTGTTTGGTAACACCTGATTATTTTCTATAATCTGAGATAGTGACCAAAAGGATCTGCAAAGTATGAGTCAACATTTAAAAAAAATTGCCACCTTAATAACGCGTGTGTCATCGCCGAACCAGTAAATACCGGCACGCAACAAAGTATGCAAATAAATTTTTAATACCAATACCGACAGATTCTTCTAAGAAACCAAATAAAGCCTTTGTTGGACGAACGGATGACCGAAGACTTCTAATAAAATGTCACATAAACTCCAATAACTATACAAATAAAAATATGTCAGAGGCATGTTTCTGGGAAACGCGCGACAATGTTGTAGTCGTGTGTGACATGACATATACGATTAACTCTTTATTTTTTTTAACATTTCGCAGACACAAATACCCAAAAATGATTAACGCAATAGTCGGTGCATATCAAATAAGGCTCAAAGGCTCAATTTGAAAAAACTTATTATACATTATAATGTATAATAAGTTCTCTTTTATTAGTTAAGTATTTACAGAATTGACTATACAGTTTAATAGTATAAAAACTACTATCAAAATTAAAATATGAATATACATGATAAATACAACTATATAACGTTTATTCTGTTATTATTCTGAAGTTCACGTTTATATCTGAATCAAAATTACATAATTTAAAAAATTATAGAAAACAACTAAGATATTGTAATCTGTTTGATATTATGATTTGTTCTAATACTAATATTATAATAAGCCTAAAAGCTTAAGTGCCATTACGACGTTACTCATATAATATATTAATTAACGAACAGGACATCCTAAAGAGCCCAACACACTAATCAACCGGTTGCAATCCAAACTATCCCCAAATTAATTCAAGCCGTGGGACGGGGACTGTGTAAATATTAACTGCGACGGACCTGGATCATATCTAGTTTAATGAATAACTGATGCGTCCGTGTTACGCCGAAAATTATCAATTTCCCGTGCGGACCCGCAAACTTCTAGGACACACGACCCCTGACTACGGATCTGTGGCCACGTAGGGTTGCTACCAAACTTATAATAAATACAATTAGCTGATTTTTATAAATAAAGATACAAGCTAGATAACGACGCGGATATCACGTCTGAGCCCAAAATTCGAAACAGCACTGCTGGATTTGCATCCTAAATAGTTGGATTCAAAACCTTCTCCTCAGCTTATTGAGACCGATATCGTCATTTTAAATTAATATTTATGATTATTTTAATTAAACGATATTATATTAATATTATATATTTACGTTATCACTTTTTAATTTCATGCAAATAAAAATAGACAAATTAAATTCCTATCAAAGTTTCCTATACTTACTTTGTAATTATTAGCAACCCTGATCATACCCCTAACCCTTCGGGTCGTATACTCGGTACAACATAAAAGCAATTCAGTAAATTGTTATTGGCATGTTAATAGTTCAGATGTCACAGTCGAGGCAGCTACTTACCATCATGTGTTATTGTAAGGGTCTGTATGACCCATCGGAGCCGTTTCGAAGCGCGGAAGGGTTGTTTTAACTGTTCATTAACTAAGAACACGTTATAATACGCGGAAATATAATTAGGTTATTAACTTTGTGAAGAGCTATCAACGAAACCATTTTTACTCGTGAAACAAATAAGTAAATGTCTCTATTTTAATGTGTTTGTGTGAAACTGAATAGGACTACTTGAGTAATGATCAAATTTATAATTTCTAAGTATTTTATTTGTACGACTGTACAAATCTCGACAATTTCGATTGAAATAACATCACGTCGTTTATACTTATTACATTAGACGTCCATTTCCGAGAAAGTCAAAATGGATTCCATATATTAAGACTTTTGTAATAACTTGCTGTGTGATATGAACTATGAATTATTTATGTTTACATGCTTTGAAAGATGATGCTCAGAATATTCAAAATATATATGAATTGAATGTACGAGTGAATATAATCCAATAGCACATACATTGTACAGATCTAAAATTAAATAGTTAAAGCACTTATATTATGGAAATCTGAAACAACTAAGCCATATTACCCAGGCACGATACAATATAGAAAAGTTTATTTCCTTTTTGACTCAATCGGGAATCGAATCAAAGACCTCAGGGGTGGCAACGTTTTGAATTTGGATGATTTGATTTTGATTTAGAATTTAAGCCAAAAACAAACTTTGGTATAAATAAAAACTTAAAACAGTGAAAATATGATATCTAGCAATTTCCACGACCAAACTGTCTCTGGAAGACCTGCTATGCACCGTCTGTACACATATTCATATGTACTACCGGCAACAAATCCCGCATCAAACACCACTCTACTGTATGTCGCTCCACCACGGAGTATCCTCAGTTGTTAGACCTTACAATGACAAAAGGTGCTAAACCTATTTGGTAGTTTTAAAAAAGAAACCACCTTTACACATTCTTGGTTGTTGTAACAATAATTAAAAAGGTTGTATAGAAAGTAAATAAGCCTTTTACTCAGCATTTTCTTCAAAATTATTAGTATAAGGGAACAATACCTTTATTGGGTTACCGCAACAAGGACCCCAATTAGACAGGCTCTGCTCAGATTAGAGTGAGTGAGCTGGCGTGATGCCTTTACTGGCAATTTGTGAGGCAGGCACGTATCTAGGGCGTCTTGTCAAGTAGAAGGTTCCAAGAAAGTTACATTATCTCTTAGAAGCTGCTCAACTCAACATTCCGACTTTATAGCAACTATATAGAATTCGTATAATTTAGAAAACTAATGTAATTTTTCTGAATTTATAAATGCACAACACCATCTACCTCTACAAAAGGGAAACTAATGCTAATGTTGTTATTGTATTTAATAAAATTTGCTTTTACAATGCTATATTGATCCCAGGTGCTTTATCCATAGAGTTACCGGCGACCTTAAAGAGACCACATTTATTTTTATATAGGCGAGACCATAAATTTAGAGCGAGACTACTGAATTTCTTTTTTTTTTTATTTATTTATTTATTTTTTTTATTTATTTATTTATTTATATAAAGCACTTGTTACTTTTAATACTAGAGTATGTTCATCAATAGCAATCCACCTCCGTCCGTGTGCACGGCGAGCTCCACAAAATTATCACTTTAATATCAAATTAGACTCTTTGTAAATATAACACATGTACGAGGTCTACAAAGTCAAATCATTAATTTTGTTTATACTAATAAATTAATCAGTTATTGGAATAGCATTTACTTAATTGACATTCTTGGAGTGCCCGAATCCCTGTCTGTCGGTACCTTCAGTAACGAAATATAGCCTGAAGACAGATCTTTTGTTTGCGTTGGTATCGTGACGCGGTCGGCCCGGTAAGCATCTGTCAACCCTTCGTTGTAGGGTACGTATGACGTGAGACGGTAATTCCTATAATAATAACATTTATTATGACAAAAGAAGATATTTTTGTTAATTTCACTTAATCATAAAAGCATAATTAAGATATAAATAGAACACATAAAGGACTCGAGAGTTCAGTCAATGAACGTATAATGGCATTCTGCTTGAAATAAAGCAGAAATTATTTTAAACAAGCAATAGAAAATTGTTACGATTGTAATTAAACTACATATTCTACACTTAAGATATCGGCTACAAAGTAGTATATTTACCTATTTTCGTAGTAAAAAATATATAAGAGTAACCTAACTTATTATCTATATATTTGTATAATTATTAAAATTTCGAATCCAGGAATATTGATACATTCTTCTTGATATTCACTTCAAGAAGAACTTTGAAACGTGCATCTTGTGTTTTAATAAATTATTACGATTTGAATTCTACAAAATAAAATAACTAAAAATGAGCTGACTTTCCTTTTATATTGTTTCTTACTACAAGATCAATTTTGGAAGATGCATTTTGTGTTTCAATTAATTATTACTGGAACAAGGACGCATTGTCACCCTAAAAGAACGACTACATAAATAATTCACCAAATCAGGATGTCTGTGCCAATGGCACTCTGTATCCGACAAATGTTTGCACCAATAAATTGATTCCGAGACATTATACGATATTTGTACATTGTTTTCGTGGGCAACTATATTTTGGCAATAATATTTAATACAATATATAAAGACAACATTGCACTAATTATGTATATTGGGCCATGACTGAATAATGCAGTGGGAAAATGTGTACATGTAATAAATTAAATCCATATGTCTAGCAGTCAAAGGTAAACACATTTGCTATCACTTGATTTTATATAATTTTTCTCAGACATATTTGCCAGTGTAAGCTTCCGTTAGTTCCATTTTATCAAACTCTAAGCCAAGACGAGACATTTAATTATACTTAAATTTATAGTAGGCCCATTAATCCAGCCCCTCCGAAATTAAAAAAAAAAGAAAAACCTAAAAGAAACCAAATCTATCCCTCTGATTACAAGCTGTCACGTCGTAGGATTTTTTCTAATCCCTCATATTTAATTAGTCACGTCGGTTTGCGAACAAGCCCGCTCGAGTGGTGAACATCAATTTTCTTAAACGCCCAATGTAATTGCCCCCCACCTAAGAGATGCCAGCCGCGAAATTTATTGCTTAATTACCTCAAGAAAACTCGTCGCCGTCCAAACGTACCGACAGATGCTTTTTATTCCCGTGGAAAAACAAAACCGTTTAAGAATGACATTAATTAATTCTTAATGAAATTCATCTTCACCCTCCAGCCGTGTTTTAATTTGAACACTCGATTTATAGCTTGTACAATTTGTCGCGAACTCTTGACTTCCCTAAGAATAATTAAACTGAGACTCTGTGTAATTATATTTATTAGCGGCAACTTGTACAAATAGTTCTGCAATTAGCTTAATTTGTATTTCTAAATAAATTATTATTAAATTACTTTGTTAGTTATGACAATTATATAATTTTTTACATTAATCGGTTGAAAAACACGTTCGTGACTTGTTTTCGAAGTTCAAAAACAAGTCAAAAACGAAACCTCACTGAAAATATTTTAATATTTCCTTTGATATGGATCTTCTACGGTGCCTTGGAACAGCGGCTCCTCGAATCTCAGATAGCTCTCATCCGGCCTCATTACGTCTTGGAAAGCTTTGTGAGTCAACTGGTCGTTATATGCCGCTAGATCGTCGTGATACTGGTGACTGTTGATCAAGTTTCTATTTACATTTCTATTGTTTATATTACCATTAGAACTGATTCTAGGTTTCTCTTCTTTTTGGGGCAATATCGGTGTCGGAGTTATTTTTTCGTCGATCTTTTTATCTTTAACAACAGTGCCAGCGCCAGCCAAATCTCTGTAATTCCTCTCCTCCTTTCTTAAAGGTGCGTAAGGATACCTATTTCTGAATCTGTAGTCGTATCGTCCTGTTCTCGCATAGTAATCGTCGTTGTAACCTCTGTAAGGGTCAGCGTTATACCTGTATCTTAAATCTACACTGGGCGGTGTCCTCACCACGTCCGGTAGATGGGCGTAATATATGATACGTTTCGGTTTCCTCGGTACATAATTATCGTATCCATCATCGTACCTATCGACTCTCGGCCCGTAAGCCGGGTACCTCCTTCGGTCATATAAATCATAGTAAGGATCGCGCCTGTATAAATCATCCGCGGGATAATATCCATCATCGTAGTAATGTCGTCTAGACTCTTCCGGGTAATACACTGCTTGTCGAGGGTATACCGGCTTGTAAGGTTTCAAACGATCGTCCTCCCGGTCAGGTCTTACGAATTCCGTTCTTATGTTATCTGTTCTAGTGGCGCGTTGTATTGACTCTTTGTCGTTCCGCGATTCTGACGCTTCCAATTGCTTGTTCTGTGTCACGAAATTAACACGAGGCATTCGGGAGTTGATAAGATCACCGGAAGGTTGAGGTGGTGTTAAGATATCGTCTCTTTGACCGTTATCTTGATCAGGGAAAGGAAGTTTGATCCAATTTTCGTTAGAAGCTCGAGCTCCTCTACCAGTAGGTTTATCTGTCACCCTTTCAGTTGTTTGATATAACGGTAATACTTCTTTGACTTCTGGATTTGTGAGCGAAACTTTAGTAGTGGGATCTTCTTCTGGGGGCAAAGGGCCAGGCATCCATGGTGTCTGATGATTTATGTTATTTTCTTTTCCCATATTTGAGTTGATGTTGAAATATTTCTCTTCTTCAATGACATCACGGCGACCTCGAACATCTGATTGAGTATTAATCTGAAAATTATGCAATTAAACAGTTTAAACCTCTAACTATTTTCTTTAATACAGGCCCGACGATCGGTGGATGAGAGTATAATGTCTAACGTCCCTTAAAAATCTAGAGTAATTTTCAAAGTTTGCTAAAATGATTTTATATTTTTTTATGAAATTTACAACAAACTTTAATTTTTATATTTAGTTAGATTAAAATCATTGGTAAATTTTAATCAAAGAAGAATAAGAAGCTTTTGATTCATTTCACCTGTTTCAACTGCGTTTGTTTTAATATGATTCAAAAATATTGAATTGCTTTCTTATTATATCTATTTTAAATAGACTAGAATGTTTATAAAACCTACCTCTGTATGGTCGAGTTCATGCTGCAAGTCCAGAGTGAGTGCTGACTGAACGAGAATGAAGAGACATAATAATATTATAGGTGAATTATCCATCTTTGTCACTGTGCGAGAAATCTGAAAAATTAATAGTATTTATTATGTAGCCATTAATTCATCAACCTATGTATGCCCTCATTGCTGGGGCACAGGCCTTCCCTATGTGTGGAATCGTATCATATCGAATAAGTAGAATGGGTCGTTAGTTAATGGGCCTAGGTTTCAGTATTCAAACTTTTTGTCTTTGAATTCAACATCATTTCTTTTCATTATTCACCTTTCGTTATTTGAAATTTTGACTCTTCAAATAAACTCTTTATGGATGTCAGTTCGTAAAAAATTCTTCTGTTGTGAATAATGTAAATCGTATAAATTTAAATATAAAAAAAATATTATTGAAGATAAGTTATTATTAAAATAAAATTATTAATTAAATAAAAGTGTATTCTGTTACTTGGACGATTCACGTTTTTATCGAAAAAACCAAAAAGGATTTCTTTTCTTTACCATTAATACTACAAAATAAATCCATTCTCAAGCTAGTCAGCCTTTTATTATTTGCCCAAGCATCGAACCCGTCACAGTAGTAAGTAAGTAAGTAACCGAATATAATCCCTTATATGGAATATCAATAAGCCCAGGAAATAAGTTATTGTTTATGTTTAAGAATGCGCTTGGCTTATTTCAAAATGTATTAATCGATATGAGAATAATTTAGAAAATAATTGCAGTATTCTATTAATACCTATAGCATTTACAATGGTTTAATATAAATAAAAACATTAACATACCAAACCAAACAGTTATAGTATAGAGGTTTTTGTACACACGGTACGTGAGGTTACCATAATATGTTAAATTTATTCAGTAGATTTTAAACTTTACCCTCATAGCATTAAGTTTTAAAATCAAGATGCAAAATTTAACGGATACAAACAACAAAAAATTTTGCTGTAACTTTTTTTTTCATTTATTTATGTTTCGCAGACTGCGTTATTAACATATAAATAATTAGTATTGACAAAACGTGTGCCTACGACCGCAAATAGGAAGTGTGATGAAATCAAACGGATGCCGACTAAAACCGTCGTCGAACCGTGAACCTTTATAAACACAAAATATCCACAAAACACGACGACCTCCAAACACATCTGATGAACAATCGGGGAACAGAGCAAATCATAATTTGCTATCATATAAATATGTTTCATAACAATGACGAGTTACATACACACCAGTCAGGTTCTCATCGATTACATTATAATATTGTTTTTAATAATAATATTTTCTATTTATATAATACTAGCTGTTCTCCCGCGATTTCGCCCGAGTATGATGTAGTTTCCCGTAGGTATAAGAATATTCATGATCGAATTAGTAATTCCGAAGGTTCATGATCATAAGACCTTTACGTCCCCACTGATGGGGCTCAGGCCTTCCTTATGGATGGTTAAGGAGGATGGGGTATGACTAGTGTTGCTAGATGTCCCGATTTTCAGGGGTCCGGGGACGCGTCCCGATTTGTACCTAATCGGGACGCTAAATGTCCCGAAAAATCAAGTATTTTTATAAAAGAAATATATTTTTTTTCATACTATTCATATATCCATTTTTGAAAGCCCCTAACTATATTTATCTATGTCTGAAAGCAAAAAAGCTACCAAACTAGTACTAATACTTGTTTTTTTGTCTGTCCCGATTTACAACCCCAAATCCCGATTAATTACATGCGCTGTCCCGATTAATAATAAATTGGACCTGGCAACACTAGGTATGACCCTCCACGCTGGCTAAATGCGTGTTAGAGGGTATTAACGACTGCAAATGCAGCCAGGATGAACGGATCACCATGACTTCCGAAGCACGAAGTAGCTCGAGATAATATTTTTTTGGTCACTCATCCCGTGATCGACCGTTGTTTAAAGTTGCCTGCTACGCCATCAAGCTACTCATTAACCGTTTACGAAGATTACCCTCTACGAAAAAATTACAAACTTTTACAATGTATAATATTAGTACCTATAGATTTAACGACGTTCCATGTATTTGTTGCTGATGGAGTTCAGGGGCGCGACCGCCTAACTCATGGACGTAGCCGTAGTCGTAGCTATAACCTATGCTTTATAAATTTTACACATGAATCTGTTGATATTGTTTTAAAATTAATCATTTTTTATTATTTACATATTTAATGAATGCTTTTAGTTGTTTTTGTTTGCTGAATTATTAAAGTTAAACGAAATTTACAAAATGTCGAATTGATACAAACAATGCTATTTCGAAAAGAAAAACAAACCAAAATGTTAATAAAATATATAAATAAAAAAAAACAATAAATTTTAAAAGAATATAAACAGATTCATAAGAAATATCGATAAAGCGTAGGTTATAGCTACGACTACGGCTACGTCCATGAGTTACGCGGTCGCGCCCCAGGTAACTGGAATAACTTCTGGCTATATAGGGATTGAAAAGTTCGAGGCCTCACACATAAATACTTAAACTATTTTAATGTAACTGACCTCATTCGATTAGTTTAATCTCTGGTTGTCAAATTGTAAAATTCTATCGCAATAGTATTAACCGTATTTAAATTAGACTGAATTTTGTGAGCCTTTGTGCAGTATTTTTAAAGAATGGAGAAAATTGAGCAACGTGCGGTCATCAAATACCTGTTTAAAAAAAACTAACTCCAAAACAGATTCACGAAGATATGTCAACAACATTGGGAGACTCTACTCCGTCGTATACGACAAAGTGGGTTGCTGAATTTAAACGCGGACGAGAGAGTATTGAAGATGACCCTCATTCTGGCCGGCCTATGACGTCTACGACTGAAGAAAACATCTGGAAAATCTGTCATCTGATATTGACAGATCGGAGATTGACCATCAGGGAGATTGCAGACACTATTGGCATCTCGTATGAACGAACACAAAACATCATAGTCAATGAACTTGGATTTTCTAAGGTTTCTGCGCGGTGGGTACCCAGATTGCTTTCAGTCGAACAAAAACAAATACGCCTCACGATTTCTCGCGACTGTTTGGAAATGTTTGAGGCTGATCTACAAGATTTTTTATCCAGATTTGTAACAATGGATGAAACTTGGGTACACCACTACAGCCCAGAGTCAAAACAGCAATGAAACCAGTGGAAAAAACGTGATGAACCGACTCCGAAAAAAGTCTAAACAATTTTGTCAGCTGGCTAGGTGTCATCATGGTGGACTATCTAGCAAAAGGTGAAACTATTAACTCGGCTTATTACTGCACCCTCTTACGTCGCTTGCGCGAAATAATTAAAGAGAAAAGGCCAGGATTACTCAGTAAGAAAGTGTTCTTCCATCAGGATAATGCACGGGTTGTTGAACCTATGGCTCAAATTGGTGATTGTGGCTTCGAATTACTGCCCCATCCCGCCTCTTCCCCTGATTTGGCACCTTCAGACTTTCATTTATTCCGAAACCTAAAAAAACACCTTGGCGGTCAAAAATTTTCATCAAATGAGGAGGTCGAAGCTGCGGTGGGTGACTTTTTTGAAGGCCTTGAAGAAACTTTTTTTATGACCGGCATACAGACATTGAAAACCAGATGGAAGAAGTGCATAGAGTTAAGTGGAGATTACGTGGAAAAATTAAATTACTTTTGCTTATATATTATATTGTTTTCTTGCTGAGGCCGCGAACTTTTCGTCCACGCTAAACATTTAGACAACGAGTTGCGAAGAAATTAATTTTTCGGTATTGAAGATTACATATCAGGTAATCTTGATACTTAATCATTTTTAAATAGATATATCAATATCTGAGGAATTCACATAAACATTGAAGATTCCAATTACCTACATACAGCATGTAATCCTTTATCTGGAATAAGTATTGTAATAATTAGAATAAACATCATCTAGGAACCAAGAACCAGGATTTTAATTCGTCCATCTCTGACTGTAGAGTTACTCAAAATTTCGATTGACAGATGCCTTATGTGTTCCCACCGAATTCTGAAATAACGGCGAGCTTGTGACTGACGCGTTCCGCTCCATATAACTGGGACTATTGTCAATACAGCTGACTATCGATCACCGTTTACCGTTATAAATGGCGTATTGTAAGGGGGTCAACTTTACATGATTAACCCACTTCCCAAATGTCAAACAAACCATGGATGACCATGGCCAAACATTTAATAATCATTAACTTAACAAGCATATAATAACACCAAACAGAATTGTGAATCCACCTACCGAAAACATTGCCATTTTCAGGAGAAAAATAAATTTAAATATAATCAATAAATGTTGCACGATGCATGCAATGGTTGCAGCGCAATAGTCCACCTTCATTTAAACCTTACTTAGTATAAGTTAAGTGTACATTTACAAGAATACCTTATGCGTATTGGTCGTTATCACAATAAAAAGGAAATATTGCCCCTGTAAGTAAAATAAACCTTTCAAAATACATTACTCTAATTTAATAGTTCTCCTATGCTCTGTCTTTAAAATTTTAACAAGTACAGTCAGATTAACTGATATAGCTCACAAATCTACCTACGCAGAAGGCTGAAACGTGGCTGAAACTACTCTGAGTGTGAAAGAGGACACCTAGAGCGATATATTTTTCACCTTATTGTTATTCAAAAAGGTTTCTTTATGAATAATCATCGTCGGAATTCGTAGCTTTGCTTTGCGCAAACGAAGATTCACCACTCACGAAATTAGATGGAACTTACTATGGACACATTGTCACAGCGTGCATGACATGCACGTAAAATAAATCTTTCATGTGTTTCATCACACCATCAGCCCCCCTATTCTTTAACTCTGGCAATTTCTGAGGACAACCGAAATTAATAAATAAATTTTACAAAGAGCCCTGTAGTACCTGTGGATTTACAGTTTGCATGGAAGTTCGTCATTGTCAAAGATAAAATTATGAAATCGCTAATTGAAGTTCGCTTTCATGGTAACTAATACTTACAGAATTCGAAATAATATTTTATCGATACAAGATCAACGGTCAGTTGCACAAACTTCCATAAAGATGACGCCTTTAAGCTCTAATTAATGTCAAATTTGTATGGTAAGTGCCGCTTTAAACTAATGAAAATTTTAATGGACGTTTGTGCAACTGGCTGCAAGTCTCTAAATGGAAGTCAGTGGAGATCGCCGATATTGATTTCAAATTTCAAAATGCGAACCATTGATAGTAAATACGAATAAGTGATATTGATACTTTGGAGTTGCTCACTTTTTACAGTGTTTACGAGTTTAAGTTCTCAATTGACTTAGTGAATAGGCCAGTCTAATTATAGTAGTACTAATGTAATAATATGATGCTAATGAAAGGAAACCAAAGACGAATATGACGGAAACTAAGTGCGAGACGAACTCGCACTTGGTAGATATTTTATACCTTCGCCATGCCTAATATTTGAAGAAAGACTATTAAATAATACGAAGGGTATAGTCACGATGGAGGCCGTATTCAGTTAACACAATGGCATCTATTTGTTCGGTCAATGGTGGGTCAGTGTCTTTGTAAATTAGGTAATCTGGTCATAAGATTATAGCAAAAGCGATAGCTATAAACTAGCTCAAGCTTTAAATCAACCTTATCATAGACTATATCGATGGCTCAATATTATCTTGGTTGATAATAAATGCGAAAAGTATAAAGTGCGTTTTGTATTTTCCTGACAGCACAAAATGTTACGATGACGCAATAAAGTAGACTAAACCAAAGCAATCAATAATATTACAATAATCATCATCGTAATATCATTGAAAGCAATGTATAGGCGACAGACCCTTGGCTGTCTAATACGCGAAAAAAGGCACATAATGATTGCAAATTATTCGTTTTGATTTTCTACACTTCTTTTCCTAGAAACATTTTAGAATTTGATTAATGAATATGTTGAGACCTTGTTTTATTTTATTGGTTATTCTGAACACATAAATAATAACGAATTTAATTTTGCAGAGTACAGCGTAGTGGCGACCGAGAAATGAATCAGTGGTAATTTTGATCCTACTGGTGGAAGAAGACTAAATGGTTGGGTGTTGTAAGCCGACGGACGGATGTAGGACGATAGGGAGGTTGCGCCCGAGGTGCTCCGATAATCTCCAAGATAACCAGAAAGAGTTACATTCGGATGGTTCAACACCGAAACATGCTACGTAAGAGACCTAGACCAAGTAAACAGATAGTTTTGGATTGAAAGTAGATAAAAAAAAGTCATTAAAAAAACCTTAATCAGAAACGAAAACTTGTCTAAGTGACGTTTAAGTACATTTTATGACGTTCTTAACTTTCAATTCTCAGTTCAGAAATTGGTAGTATGTTTTGTAATTTTGATAAAATACTTTGACACTGAACCACTTAATTAATTATGTAATAAGTATTGCAAAATAATGAAATTAACACCGATAACACTCAACTACTTATACTAATATTATAAAGAGGTAAGTTTCTAAATGTGTTTATTTATAATCTTCAGAAATACTGAGGCAATCATGAATATTCTTTTATCTACGAGAAGCTACAACGTACGTGGGTGAGGGTGACACAGGCCATAAGTCGCGGAAAAGAAGCTGGCATAAAATAAATAGGGTGAAGGCACCAATTATCGGCCATGTTAACTTTTTGATCTTTGTCTGCTTGTAAAAAAAAAAATTAGGTATTATTTTTTCAAATAGGATAACAATCAATATTTTTAACTCTTATTAGTCTTTTGTACACCTCTATCATAGAAATCAAAATAATAAGAATCATAATGAATCGATATTCTTAAAGAAAGAAACTACGAACCAAATTATTATAAATAATTACCGAACAAAATCAACCGAAAACTTAACGTTATGCATTGGATCTTCAAATTAAATGCATAAAACAGTGATTGCAATTACAATCCATTTTAGCCACATCAAATTATCATATTTTATCAATTTTGTTTTACAATGATATATAAATTAACCTTAAAGAAAAATGCTTAAAACAATCATAGTCCCAATGCGAAACGTTATAAGATTGTTAACGTTCTTTTTTTACTTTCCTAGGCTTGATTTTAGTGCCAAAATCTAATGCAATCAACACAAAAATGTTTTCTTAAAGCTGGCGAGAAACTATACCCAGAAGTTGTCTTGGATATTTTAGAGTTTGGACGACTGCAAACTGAGAAATATCTTATACCGGAAAATATCTTACATAGTGATGCCGGTAGAGAAAAGTCAAAAGTCCAAGAAATATCAATATTAGTTACTAAAAAAGAAGGTACACAATAAAAAGGTGGTCGTTATTACGCATCGGTTCCGTTTACATCGGCCGTAGCTGATAAAAATAGTTTTTAGGCGGCCGGCATTAGAATTCAACGTTCGTATGCATTTCCCCAATACCGACCACACGGCCGATATTACGATTTATCAATAATACAGATCCCTAATCTCAGCCCCTGGATTATTTATAAAAAATACAAAGCCAGGTAAAAATATGCTGCCTAAACGGTACTTTAACTGTTTTTCTTCAAAAACAAATACAGTAAGATAACTCGAATATACTAAACAGTGTTCAAATACATATCAACGCAATGCGTCGACTGGCAGATTTGACTAGGTAATGCTACCAAAAAATATACGTTTGCACCTGCCCGCGCTTTATTTTTATATACCAAACATTCAAAAGCCCACATCAAGATATGGGAGGTTCGGAGTTTCTTAAGGATATAGAGTTACTTTTTGCATAAAAACAATTATAATTGTAGGACTGTTTGAATAATGTTCAATTTTGTCGAAACGGCCGATCTTAGGCGGAGGCCGATAATAGGAAACTCCACCCTAGATTGGCAAATACAGAATATAAGGGCGCTTGTACACTACACTGGGACCGGCGGTCCGTTTTTTTCCGGTCCGGAATGACATGAAAAACCCGGATGAGTAGCTTGTGCACTTATCCGTTTTTTTCCTGAGCGGCGCAGTGTAGGGCAGCTCTCTTTGAAGCTACACGTCACTTACGCTAGGTACGATGAGATTTTTGGAACGTCGGTAATTGCTTGCTTTGTTACTTTACGTGCGAAGATGTAGAAAGGTACCTAAATAATGACATAAACTATAATAATTTACTACTATCGGATGACTACTATCAGATGTCAAAACTTATACCCTTACTAATTTTGGAACAGCATTATTCACATACAATAGCTAAAAATATCTGTGACATTAGAATAAAATTACTGATATTGATCTAGTAGTTGATGTTTAAATTTATAAACGTGCTATTTTTTTCGAAGTGTTGTAAAAACAACTTTAAGCGATTACAGAGATAGAGTTTCTTTGAGCAGAAATATTTTCCCTGAGAAAACTTTTTTATTTAATTTATTTATGACACAAACAGTCATTTAAAATTTTATTACAATATAGGCTTAAATACGAAAAAAACATTGAGTGTCACTTAATTACTTCTGTTAATCTTCTGTTTATTCATTATTATTACTTCTGTTATCAAATATTTATCTATACTTATCAATTGTCAAAAAAAAATTTGATAATGACAAATTTCCATGCAAACTTACATCCCCTATTTTTCGCGATAAAACGTAGCCTATGTCCTTTCTTAAAGTTAAGTCTATTTACTATATTAATTTCCATTAAGATGGGTTCAGTTGTTTAGACGTCTAAGCGTAACAACACTTATTAATCTTGCCTTAAGCTATCGAAACTTTTAATACGATTCTAAAATCTAGCTAAGTATCGATACTAGAACCATACGCTGATCAAATTAGAAGTATACCGCGTTCGCCAAAGCATATGCAGTGACATTTACCAACTATATTAAATCATCATATAAAATAAAGCATTTTATAATCTACAATAAATATCGATTATAAGTTTATTGGAAATTAACAATATCGCCAGAAATAAATATCAATTTTACACAAATCGATTATTTTTTCCCAAGCCTATTCCTTATGAAATATCCGGATCGCGGATACAGCAGTGCACAAGCGCAAAGACGTTTTTCATTGCCGCCATCACGGACCTGAAAAAACCGGTCCGGAATAGAGAAAAGTAAAATCCCGGACGGTAAAATTCCTGACAGTGCACAGGCTAGCATTACCTATATATGGCCTGACATATCGGACCGGAAAAAAATCCTGAAAATTCAGTGAAGTGCACAAGCGCCCTACATGTCTTCCTCTTCCATGGTTCTCAACCTTCGTACCTAATTTCCATACCTTCCTTTTCACTTATTATTGTTCAAACATAAATCATTTCCACAGCTCTCCTACACCCGAATCCAGATATTTTCCGCCACATAATATTGAAATGATACCACATTACAAATAATTACAAGTCACCCAATTGAAATGGCAAATAGTACTTACCATAACATAATCGTGGTGTAGTGCGCTCGCTGGTGTCCACCACGCTAATGACCGCAGGAGCACCGCCGTCACGGGCCTGACCGGCACACAATAACACGGGCCCATTGTGCGTTATCGTGGCGGGTGCGATCGACCACTGTTTCCGTTCATATCCGATTTATTGTCACGTACAAAATTGGATATACAGAACGGGTACTTTGCCGAAAGATGTACATGTCTACCTATGTGGGTTTTATATAAAAAACTAGCCGTCTTAACGCGCCTTGGCCCTTGTAAATTATAACCTACGTTATTCGCGTATGATTTAGCTTCCCGTAGGTCAAAGAATTTTCATGATCGGATCAGTGTTGCCGAAGATTAAACCTAGAAACAAAAAGAAACTTCACCTCCTTATAATATTAATATAGACGAAATAGCCGTTCTTTATTTGTAAAGGATTATGTCCACTACTATTTCGCTCAAAACCTATTTATCTATCTTACTAATATTACAAATAGGAAAAAAAATAGTTTTGTCTGTTTGCATTGAATAGCATCCGAAAGAAACGGACCAATTTTAAATATTCATTCACCTACGGATAGCTCCATCATACACAGGTTAAAATTTACACGGTCGAAGTCGCGGGAAAACAGCCATATCCAAAAAGTTTTTAGTTTTAACAAAGTGGTGCATTGAAAACAGACTCAAATATAACGGTGAGCTTTTTAAATGACATTTATTTAACAATGCGAGAAAAGGCGCGACGCGTATCGCCTACCGCGGAATCAATGAATACTGACCCCATGACTAACACTATAAAAACAGACAATTATTATTTAAACTCTTCCCTATTAGTTTAACCGGGTTTTATTAAAAATTTGAAATAATAATAACGTAAAACTTATGTGCATGATTATACAATAAATTTACAATGAGAACAATTTACATATAGACTACCGACAAATTCGAAAAAGTTAGTTTTTAAACTTCCGTACACAAAGGGTTAAACGGGAACCGCATTACTAAGACGCTGTCCGTCTGCCTGTGTGTTTATCACCAGGCTGTATTTCATGAACGTTGATAGTTAGACAGTTCAGATTGTTAGATTATTAGCCACTTGCCCGGTTTTTCTATATCGAAATCCTGAGTGTTATTTATATTCACAGACTGAAGTGAAAGTGACTCAATCAAAAAAGCAAACATTCAAGTCATAAGTTCCCTTTTGAATTGAGTGTTTTCATTTTCAGGATCTAATACTTCTATGAATTTCAAAAAAGCCCTACAGTGCTACAGAATATCTAAACTGTAGCATTAGCTAGCATTCTTGGAGTATTTTATTGGTTAGGTACTCAAATTCGTGTTAAAAATTGTCACAAATTAATTTAAAGACCCTCAAAATTGAGAAGCTCGATGACGCAGATAACGCTCGAGTTAGCACGTTTAGACTGCGATGCAGAGGTTAAGCAAGGTAATACCTACAACCTGTTTTGCTAAAAGTAAGTACATAGGCACCGAAAGCAAATTTACCTAACCTCAATGGGTAATGATGCACGAATGATAGCGGTCATTATTATTTGATGATATGTCAACACGCGTACAATTTATATATTAAACTATATGTAATGTGGTAGAGGATTTCGTAGTCAAGTAATTTTTTATCAGTCACAAATGATCAGAACCTATAAAATGTGGAAGTCGTCACCGGACTCTTTTATGAAACCAATATAAAATTGTTACCTTAAGCTGAACCTTCGTTCTAGTATTATCTTTTTTATTTTCTACTGGTTATCATATAATAAGTAAAATTATTTATTTATTTATAATGCACTAGCTCACAATCCCTTTTCTTCTAACGCATAATCAATCGTTTCCTGGTATGCTACTTAGCAATAAAGTCGCATTTTGAATATAAAGTGCAATAACGTATTCATTAATTAATTACAACGGTATTTTTTAAGTGTAGGTAATCATAAACGCATGCCCGCTCTCCCCTGCGGACCCACCCCAGACTAGGGCTACTCTAATAGCAGGGGCACACCCACTAAAACTCAGCGATGTCCCTCTCTATGGAGGCGATATACGGGAACAGCCCGAAGACCGCTTCATGCGGGACGAGTCCCACTGCGGGTTGGGGGTACGTCTTAGAGACATTTGATGCCTTCCCTCCAGACAGAGCAAGGGCGAGCAATGCCCGACCAGCGCGCAAACCGGCTGGACTGCCGCCGACTAAAGTCTGGAAATGCGCAATAGGGATGATGACTAATTTTTGTTTGTTTGTCCGTCAGGTAGAGTGTTAAAAAATATTAAACACGTATTTTTTTATTTTTTTCGTAATCATAAAATTACGGCGTTACATCGAGTTGAAATTTCGCATGACGTCACGTTAGAGTACGTTTTCTACTCAACTGTGACGTAGCGAGCCCCCACTCCTCAACTTTAATGCCTGTTATCTATACTATTTCTTGTTAAATTGAAGTAAAAAAAAAATACGTATCTAATATTTTTCTATTATCTGACTGACGGACTAAATAGAATTGCATTTTTTTTACCCAGTCATCATCCCTATTGTGCAATTCCAGTCCATGCCCGTCCAGTTGGAAGGACCCACACAGGCATAAAACTTATCGTGAATACCCCCTCTCATAGCAGGGATGTGATACCTGAGTGTTACGCGGGTGATACCGCGTGACGTATATACGAAAATAGAAAGTATAGATAGCACAAATGGCGAGAGATAAATAATGTATTAATTGTTGAAATATGTATGAATAATAATAATATAATCACTCTCAATTTGTTAATTTATTGCGTTATTTTTAGTAAATAATCAATTTATATTATTGAAGTAAAACTAAAAAAAAAGGAACTAAAAAATATAACGTTTTCTTTGTAATAACGCGATAACAAACGGAAAGGCATTTTTTAAAACATATAAATAAGAGTAATAATGAAATTATGATTACTTATTGTGAAAATAACAATCGTATTTGCTATTTCAGTCAACCATAACAAGTAAAAACAAAACTTAGTAATAACAATCGACACCAACAAAATTTATATGAGATCTAAACGCAACCCTACTGAATAACTCTCTACTCGTCAACTAGTGTTTATTTGTTAGCGGTACTGATTTTTAACGCAATTACGTCATCAAAATGACGGCCTGACGCATTAGGAGTTTGCGAGGATTAAGTCTCCAGCTAAGTACCCACTGAACGTGTATATATATATATGTGTTAGTAAGTACATATACCTAAGTTTAAATATTTTTACCGTATTCTACTCTATTTGTAAAAGAACATGTATATATTGTTTGAAACTTATAGAAAAAAAATATTTCTAAACTAACATGTTTTAAAATGAAAACTAAATTAAAAGTTAATCGATCTAACTATTTAAAGATATCAATCTACAACGTGCTACCGTGGTGCTACTGGTACTAAAAAAAAGTATAAACAAGACGAAAGTAACGCCATATATGTATAGTCCCAAAAAACTGGTTCAAAGATGCACAAATATATCTGCTAAGACTCTATGGTTTCTGCCGCCATAAAGATTTGTAAGTAGTTTAATCATTTCAGATACCTAATCTATATCTACTTTAACGTAAATTTTATAATTTCTTCTCACTACCAAAACCATCCTACTAAGATTTCGATCATTTTATTATGTAAAGGATACGACAGCCACAAGAAATATGTTTATGAAAAAAAAAACAAACTTTAGTAGACATATATAAAGCTTTAATACTATTATTGTTCCATTTAAAAATAGCGATAGACAACATAAATGCACAAACTTGTGAAGGTGAAACGATACACTAAGTATGACCGTATAAATAACAGCGAATTAAATAAAAATAAACCTTATCGAGTTATAAAAAGAGCATTCCATTGGAACATTTTTATCACGTCTTAAGGCAACGTTAACATTTGTTATTCAAAGCTAATTGAAGCCAGAGAATATTTATCAAAGTTATTTAATAACTATTAAAAATAATGTATGTTAATTTTCAATGAACAGAATATTGTTAAAGAATTCAATGAACGTAAACAGCACATTATTTTAAATCAGTCATTTATTTATATGATTAGCGTAAGTATCTAAACTAATTTCACATAAGGCTTTTGTTAACACAATACCACGGACAACATTTCTTAGTAAAATAGTTGTCATTACAAATTGAACTCTATGACGATGTAGATGAGTTGATGGTTTGCTCGCTGAATGCATAAAGCAATTCAATTCAGTGTGTATAACTTAAACCTAAAAGCCAAATCAACGACATATACTTCTTTGCAATATAAGAATAATCTTTCATGAATTTTAAATACATTTCTTTCAAACATGTTCTGTTATATTCGTTTTCGTATTTAAGTGAAATTGAACTAAAACCTTAGTATTATTACATCTGCACTCCAAAATACAATTTAATACGAAATACTCATATTTCAAAAATGCATTAACGGCTCAATAACTTACAAATCAAAACTCTTCCAGTGGCTTTATATTAAGATTTTCTTTTAGTGTCAAGTCCGGAATATCGTCCGTGCCAAAGTGGCTTCCATTCTATATGTGATAAGGATTATTCCTGCATAGCAGCCTCAGCAGGCGCGGCGGGTTCGTTACCAGCCTTCTTCTTGGAACCTGATACGATATCGTCAATTCGGAGTAACAGGATCGCTGTCTCAACTGCCGTTTTGTATACCTGGCGAAGAATATAAATATTAGAAGATCTTATAAATATTACCTCGCGGCTCTACCATGCGACATCGCGTTTCGGATTTCAATCGACGAAACTAAGTCCTCGTTAATCTGTTAATGCATGAAAACGTTTTGGAAATATTCATTGCATAGACCAATCCGATTCTTTTATAATATAAAACTCTCTTATCTCGTGTTTGGTCTAGGCTACTTGCTACTTACTCTTGCACATTTTCTTTTATTACGCATATTCGCATATGGCACGGCATGTTAGTCGATTGATGAATGAATAATACATAAATAAGTATTAGACAGCGTCGCACACATTGTTCCGATTACAAGATGAATAGGAAAAGCATTCCTATCGTGGTGCATCTGAGATAGCGAAGGTACTACAACACCCGAACTCGAGACAATATATAAAAACCCATTTAGTACTAATGTACTCTTCCAGTGGCTCCAGATATTCCAGAGGTGGCTCCAGATATTCCTCAGAGATGGCGACACCTTGAAACCGGCGTGCAAATCACTCTGCTACGGAGGTTGGAGAATATTAAAACGGAAAGTGACTTCATAGTCTACATTTTTCTACATTTCTCAATTCCACATCTCTGTATGAAATAAAACAGGATGATTAAGATTTTTGCAGGTTCTTCTCAGTAATAGGTCTACCGCCATAGATTTACGGACCAATAATAGAGTTTCGGCTTTGACGAGTACTTGAAATAGCCTAGACCAGGGGTTGGCAAACACATGAGAAAAAAAGAGCCAAAAACTTCAGTTAAATAATTTCACAATTTTTAATGAGTCACTTAAATATGTTTTGTTTTAATTAAAATAAAAGACTTTGAATATCTATTTCTCTGTTATAGTCAGTGTGTCTTAATTTAAGGGGTTTCTACAGTAAAACTATATTTGTAAATGGAATATGGGTGTAAAGTCTACATCTACACTGTAGACCATAAACGAAAATAAATACTTTTTTTCTGGTAGTGTTCTATTCACTTTCATGCTTATTATATTTATAATATTGCTTAAATATTTTATAGTCGTCACGTGACCGCAAACAGCGCGTGACGTCACACCCCTCTACTTATATCAGATTCAGAACTTCCGAGAATTAAACCCTACGCATGTATAGAACGATTTTAGTTTTAGAGGGGCGTGACGTCATAGTGACGCCATGACAGAAGTTAGCGTTTTCGCTGGAAATTTTGAAAATTTCATTTATTTTTAGATTGTAATGATATTTTTAGATATATTTCATGTATATTTTTAAAATATAAATATAAAAAAAAGGAAAGTCCTCCACACCCCTATTAGAGAGCTGCAACTTTATATCAAGAGAGCAGTTGGCAGGTTAAGAAAATAATTTTGAAATTAATGTTATACGTCAAATACGATATGTTGCGTGTACCTGTAATTTGACGGCGAGCGGTTCCCATATACCGTGCGCGGCCATGTCCCGTATCTCACCCGTTTCGCCGTCGATGCCCGCGGTAGAGTTGCCGGCGGCATGTTTGGCGCGTAACGCGGTCAGAGTACGGATGGTGTTAGCGCCACAGTTTTGTGCCAGTGTACGGGGTATTATCTCTGAAACACACAGTACGCAATTCATCATCATCATCACCAGCCCTTTTACGTCCCCACTGCAGGGGCTCAGGCCTTCCTTATGGATGGTTCAGGAGGATGGACCATGACCCTCCACGCTGGCCCAATGCGGATTGGAGGGTATTAACGACTGCAAATGCAGCCGGGACCAACGGCTTAACGTGCCTTCCGAAGCACGGAGTAGCTCGAGATAATAATTTTTTGTCACCCATCCCGTGACCGACCCTTGCGAAAGTTACTTTACGACAACGATTGTTGTTTTGTTAATAACTTGTCAAAATATGTGTGATATTATAAAAATCAACAAACACGAAAAAACCCAAAAAATATATAATTATCCTATTTCATGTGGAGATCAAAACACTGCGACCATTTATTAAAATATGAGTTCTAGAAAAGATAGTAATACTGTATTTGATCAATTTTCCATTCATAATGCTAAACTAAAAAATATTCTTAATGAAATATGATTAAAAGTCCACTTTGCCCCTGGTACTGTGATATAGGATTCGAAAATTCGTCAGTCCTGTTATCCTGAAACAGGTCCTGGGTAGCTCAGTGGTTAGAGCAGTCGCCCGGATTGCGAAAGCATTTTTCATTAAGAATATGACAGAAATACATTTAGAACTGCAAAACGAAAACTCATTTGGAATTATTTCAGTTTTGTCGTTTAAATATTCATTAACAGTGTAATATCCTTTACTGAGTAGACCATTCGTAATATGGGTTTTAAATTTAGGCAATGATAAATTTAAAATGTCCATAGGAATTGTGTATACCTCGACTCATAAATGTTGATAGAACCTTCTTTAGCCTGTATGATGGCAAAACAAGTTTATCTTTATTTCTAGTATTAAAAGAAGAATGGCGAAATCAGACCCCATAATTTACAAAACCGTACATGGATGGCAATATGACAAATAAATAATATATGATTAATAGATTTAATTTCTACAAAATGGTGAATTTTAATGTCGGGGAACCAAACTAAAATATTAAATGCTGCTAATAATTATCAAGATAACAAAACGTCTGATGATAGTGCAAAAACAAAACGCGAAAATCTTCTTAAGAAACGTTCTGGTCTATGCAGAAGTACTTTAATAATAAAACTATATCTTGGAATTGTTTCATGAATTTTGCGCCGGGCAATAAAAGGGTAATCTATTTTAATGGATATTATCGTTTCCTGTACATTGCAATTAATTCTATTGCCTTTATAGTACCATTAATACGCATAATAATCGAATATAAATTCAAAATAAGATTGTATAGAATAGATTCCGTTCTCTTTAATTGAAAACTACACAATATATCAAAGGGTTGTAGTTTGGATGGTTTTTGAAAAATCGATCACATACATTAACCATGTCAGTAGCGATTCTCAATTAATCGCGAGTTTTTCAAACATTCTATATAATATTATGTGTCGCCATTTACTGCTAATAATAAGTGAGATATGTGATGTAATTACATGTACCGACTGAGCGAATGTACGTCAAATATATATTCAATATAAAATCTATATATAATATAACATATGAAATACGATCTTTGAATACTTTCATAAATATTTATTTTATTCGTTCAAATTACGTATTGAATATTTGAGAAATAAAAAAATTGAAAGCCAAGATACCACAACCGATTTAAGAAGATTATTGTCAATTCTGCAGTTGATCCGATGAAAGGTTCACGTATCGATTATTTTGTTCTAAATAATCGATTGGTTGTTTCTATTTTGACATGCTTGTTTTCATCTATGAATGTTCTATGATGATGATGGTGGAATGATAGCGAATGATTGGTTTGGTTTGTTTGTTGTGTGTTCGTCCGTGGAGTTTGATATTTATGTTAATATTCAACTTGACAATTAATAATGTTTCTTCGACTAACATTGATATTTGCATTACATTTGGATTCCGAATGGCAATCGATTCGGTTATAACAATGACAGTTCAATATGTACATTGCCCTTATTTGTCACTTTCAGTTGTAATGATTTAATTAAAGGCAAAGGGATCTACTCCACACAGTTTAGTCATATGTTATAAATGTTTCTTCTTTTATAAGTGTCTGGATCTTGTTAGATACGTAATTATTTTAATCTAGTTTATTAAACGGAGTAACCTGGTTACCATTTTTATTTATTTTAACGTCCATTCAACGAAAAAGCAAAGATGCAATATATAACCCCACAAAGTATTTTATTCCATATCTCCATATCCCAACTTAAAAAAAAAGACGATTAGGATTTTGTTAGTTTAGCTTATACCTTCAAGTACACGTTTATTTCATTCATGAACGGGACTTTAAAAATTCAGGTCCAAAGCTATATGGGAGTTCGTCATTGTTCTTTTGTACATGACTATGTTTAACGTAATTATTAATATTGTTTCTAACTACAATTGTATACAAATAAGGAGGCTGATAATATCCCAATTTATATGTTGAGAATTAGTTTATAATATTTTATAATGAATCGTTTCAAATATCAAGTATTATTTTCTACTCGTATCACTGCAAAGCCCACCTGCCCCCAGCTTCCCTGGCAGTAACTATACATGTATAGTTAGGTTAATAATCGCAGTACTAATAGAGTGATAGTTACCTAGAGCTTGAGCGACGGCGCGATACGGCGACAGATGCGGCGCGCGAGACGACAGAGCCTGCGATACCGCCATCTCTACGCTGCCCCCGCCGGCTACCAGTCGCGGACATAACACCTGACATATCACCAATAAAATTAAAAAAATATTTAACAACATCACATACATTGCTCAGATTCCAAGATGAGCAGCTAAAGCCCCCGTATTATGGAGTATCTGAGACAACGAAGATCACACAACACCCAGACCCGAGACAATATAGAAAAGTTCATTTTCTACATTAACTCGACCGGATATCCAACCCGGGACCTCAGAGATGGCGACACCTTGAAACCGGCGTGCGAACCACTCGGCTACGGAGGTCGTCAAAACCTATGATGTATAAACAAGTTTAGATGGGTTATCTGCGCGCGATATTAACAACGAGAAAGTCGGACAATAGGGGTGATGACTAATTTTTGTTTGTTTGTCTGTCAGGTAGAGTGTTAAAAAATATTAAACACGTATTTTTTAATTTTTTTCATAATCATAAAATTACGGCGTTACATGGAGTTGAAATTTCGCACGACGTCACGTTATGGTACGTGTTCTACTCAACTGCGACGTAGCGAGCCCCCACTCCTTAACTTTAATGTCGAGTCCCCAGTTTTAAGGCCTGTTATATATACTATTTCTTATTAAAATGAAGTAAAAAAAAATACGTATCTAATATTTTTCTATTATCTGACTGACGGACTAAATAGAATTGCATTATTTTTACCCAGTCGTCATCCCTATTTTCCGAGTTTCTCTTAAACACGTTTCAGCAAATGTCGTGGCTAATGCCATTTTTACCAAAAAAAATACCTTCCTGCGTGTTTAAAGGTTGCACAAATTACACACTGATAGTGAGAGAAACAAAAAAGATATCATTTTATGCGTAAACACTGTAAGTACTTTTTTTATTTGAATAAAAATAAGATGTTATTGAATACAGCCATTTTTCGTGCAGCGTGTTGATGATTACCTCGTTCTAAAAATTTTTCAAAATTTTTAGAAATTTTTCAAATTAATTTTTATACATAAACTAGCTGACCCGACAGACTTCGTCCTGTCAAAAAGATTTGTAATGTGGCAGATTTTTTGCCTACGTATTTAAAAAAATTCTCCTGAACAGAACCGTCACCCTGGTGATAGGGCGTTGTGAATAAAAAATAATTAAATAAAACATATATAAGGATTTAAAAGTAAGTAATCGCTTTATTGTTAATCATGTGAATCATAATTATTATTGCAATGTATTAATAGTAATAGTATTAAATATAGAAAAAAGAGATTTTTATGATCATAAAAACACATTACACACAACAGCATTATAAAAGTAAACTATTCGAATTAAAAAAATATATAAACATTCTCAAGGAAAAATGCTGGAAGAATCCATCTACCTGTACCCCGGAATGGGACTCGAACCCATTCGCGATCCAGGGACTGCTCTAACCAATGAGCTATCTAGGACCCAACAGCTTTGCTACTACAGAGCGTATTTTCATCAATGTTCCGGCAATACATGTAATGACGTGGAAACTGATGCATTTTATCTCGCGTGCCGAAACTAATACAAAAGAAACGCGAGTTTCGGAACGCGACATTAAACTCCTCCAACTATGTATTCTGTGCTCCAACGCACACACGCACATTGTTTTGTGATAGATATGATCTTTGACGTTAGGAACACACCTACATTGCTTAGACAACAGTGAGTGCTTGTAATTTAATATGAACTTTATACCATAGCAATAAAGCTCAAATTGACTACGTTTTAGTTACAAATCATTTGTATGGGAAAAAGAAAAGGGCTATTTTTAGGGTTTTTCCAACAATAATTCTAATTTTTCTCGCCGTAAAAACCATCCTTGAACTTCAACGAACATTTTAAAAAAAGATTTGGCCAAATTGGTCGAGGCGTTGTTAAGTTATGCGCTTACCAACACATTTTGCGATTCATTTTTATGTATATAGATGTACAATTTACATACCAAATTCTTGGCTACATGGAGGGCGTCTTGGAGATTTCTTTCGATCTCGTTCAACACATCTTTTGACGCACCGCGCAATAGAATTGTACAAGCCTGAAAAAAAATATAATGATTTTAACAAAAAGTTTAAATATATATTTCACTAGCTGTTCTCGCGAGACATGCCCGCGTGTATTAGCCTACAGCACCGGCCTATATGTGGCTTCCACTAAGTGAAGAATTTTCATGATCAGATGAATATTTCCGAAGACTACAAAGATTAAACAAAGCAAGCAACTTTACATCTTTATAGTATTAGTGTCGATTTTGTTCTTTACCTAGTAGATCCAAAAACATGAAGAATTTAATGCCAAAGTACAATTGATAACAACCGACGATAAAACGACAAAATTGACTGCCGAGAAGAAAATATAAACAAATCAAGAGGCTGTCTGAGAATCAAAACTACTACTATATATATATAGGTTATAGATTTTATATTATTTTTTCCATCAAGAGCCTTGAAATTGTCATATCTTTTCTAGTAGTATGTGAACCAGGAAAGGTTAGGAACTTCAGTTATGGCCGTGCAAGCAAAATTTTGTAGTACAAATACATGTGGCATGCAGATTTCGTTAAGCTAGAGTTTTAAAAAATTACTGCACCGAGTAAAGTTCTAGTTTATTTAGACAGGGGGCCACATCTATAAATGTTTTTTTTTATTTTGCTTGCTCTATACAGTTTCTCTTATTGTATTACTATTTCTAATTTTATTTACTTTTGAGTAGGTTAAGAAACCCTGACTTAAATCCGATCTCATATAATAGACATTAGTATTAAATGTTATAATCACCTTAGGATTCTTGCACTCGGTGATGAAGGTGAAGTACTCGTCACCAATCTTGCGTACTTCGAATCGTCCAGCGCCGGTTCCCACGTCGGTTTCCCTCAGCTCTTCGGTACGATTCACTATGGTGGCACCGCACGCACGCGCTATACGATTGTTGTCCGTTTTACGAACTCTGGAACAACAAAATTTTGTAACACTATGCGATCGCTGAAGAGAGAGAATAGGAATTATGACTACTTTTATGTTTGTCCATTAGGTAAGTTGTATTTTTTTATTTATTTTTGCGTAATTATTAAATAACGGCAATACATTAATTTAAAATGGCACAGGACATCACACTTTTGCACATTTTCCACAAAACCGTGACGTACCGAACCCCCACTCTTCAACCGTATTTCCTCTCCTATTTCGTACTATGACAAAATTTGTTATATATCTATAACAAATTTTGTTATAAAAATATATAGCAATATGTTTAGGCAACTAAACATATTGCTATATAGATAGACGTACAGGAAAATATATGTAATCAGTGCACAAATTTAACATTGGAACCCTCGAAAATACCTTTAAAAATAAAAATAAAAAATATCAAATAGATCCAATAATTAAGAAGTATGTAGAATTCTTACAAAAAAACTGGCTAAGTGCAAGTCGGTCTCACGCACGAAGGGATTCATTATCCATAAAAAAAAGTAAAAAAAACTCACGTTTGATGTTTTGTATAGTGTTCGAAATTTTCGAGCTAAATACAATTGGTCGACTCGTAAACATGTAAAGCCAACTTAAGTGTGATAGTTTTCCTTTTATCTTCATAATATATAAGGTACTACTGCCGTAACGTTACATTTTTACCAACAACCGTTTAGTTGGTAGAGGGGGGAGGGGTCATTTGACTCTAACAAAAATAAGCTCTTTAAAACTTGTTTCATTTCGATTATTTATTTGCATCAAGTCACAAACGGTTTACTAAATTGAAAAACGGCCTCCCACGCTTTACCAGTGTAGGGATAGATCTTTCAAAAACCTATCCAATGTGGATAGTTTAACTAAGAGGAGAAAAAAAAACATTATCATCTCCAATTTACATTTATGGGAGGTATAGAAAATATTTGTTTTTTCAAAATTTTACTTTACCACTTCGTCGGCGTAAAGTGGTAAAGTAAAATTTTGAAAAACAAATATTTTCTATACCTCCCCTAAATGTAGATTGGAGATGATAATGTTTTTTTTATGCAAAATCACAATTTTCTAACAGTACTTTTTAATCCAAACCGCGGACGGACAGACAGACGGAGATTTACTGCGGAACTCTAAAATGAGTCCAAAAAAAAACTTTTTTAGAGTTTGTTAAAAACAGACTGGCAAACTGTTCTTTTTTTCATCATTTACAACAGAATAAATGACCATATATTTATTGAGTTTTCTATATTTCGACTATGACAAGCGCCGCGATAACGAGTAAATGTTACGGGCAGATATATCCTGAATAAGAGAACTCAAAAGAAGGCAAATCGATAATCTGTTAGTAACATCCACCTTTACCATAATCAACACTTGCAACAGCGCCGAATTACATATACATAAGCCCATAGATAACTATAATTCTAGAGTGACGTCACGGTCCTCTAAAACTAATGTCATTCCATGTATGCATAAAGTTAAATTCTCTAAGTTCTGATATGAGTAAGAGAACGTAACGTCACGTGCTGTTTGCGGTCACGTGACAACGAGTATAAAAGATTTGTAGTTTCACAATTAATTTAAGCAATGTAATATACATAATAAGCATAAAAGTGTGATCATCGGTAATAGTGATTAACTACCGGAAAAAAGGAATGTGTATTTATTTTCTTTAACCGTGTACACCTGTTTAGTTTCTCGTATAAGTTTCCAGAAAGCAATTACCTCCTTATAGCGGTGATGCCAGCTTTCACTAGATAGTGTTGAGCTAGATCTGATACACCCTTCTCGGTGAACACGAGGTCGGGCTTAAGCGCGATGATCTCTTCGCACTGGCGCTGCACGTGCTCCTCCTCCAGCTGCAGCAGCTTCGTGAAGTCCTACAACATGCCAGATAACTTTCAGCTAAGCTCAGTGACAGCTGAAAATCCCTGCTTCACCTGCATATTTTAGTGTGCTGAGCATAGACTCTATCTGTAGCACATGTGTAAAAGAATCTGTATCTTGTTCTATGATGTAATGTGTTTTTTCCATTTTTTGTTTATCAACTATTTATCTATCTATTAATAACACTAACACTCAACAACTTTCTCTTTGTAATATACACAGCTGTATTTGAAGTCGCCTGTTTTATTATAAAACAAGTACTAACTTTGCTATTCAGTATAAGCCATTACAAATAAGTGAACCCATCAACCAAAATTGGAAAAGTCCTAGTATAGAAAACTGAATACTTAACAGACTGATACTCTATAGTGTAAATACATGCCATGGCACAGAAAAAACATAAACAGAATATTTTTGATTTTTTCATATACTTTCCTGTTGAGTACAGTATAACTCAATTACAGACAAAGTCTAAATTATGTAGCACATCCTACCTGTTCCCCCATAATCTCAATATTTGTCTGGCTCTCGCCTTTCTTATATTCAAGTGGGCAATCCAGCAGAATAATACGCGGGTTCTCAATGAGGCGTCGCATCTTCGGATGTGTTACATCCTTGTTGACCATCACACCGTTTAACACTTTCGACTCCTCTACAGCCCCACCGGGTATCTTCTCAACTTTAGCATAGCTTTAAAGATAAAATATTTTTTCATAAATAATCAGCAGTTTGAATATAACCTTTGACAAAGATTGTTTTCTTTTGTGAATTAAGCGAAGGATGATTAGTATAAATCATTGTTGAATCTTTGACAGATTTCACTCAAACTGCTTATGGAGATTGAATACTTATACCCCGTCTACAATGATTGAATTATCATAAGTTAAGATATTATTTTAAGTTCAAAACAAAGTTTTATGTAACACTTCTACTGCAATGAAGTCTAATCCATGCATATTACTGGAAAGGGGATTTGATTAACAGCAAAGAATTTGTCAAAGAAAGAAACTGGGCTGTTTCTTAGATTTTCTAATTGTTTTGGGATTTTGGTTTTTGATAAAACAAATTAGATATTTTTTCGTACAAAATCTAAAAAATGTGTACTTACTTTTTGATATCAACTTCAACTCTGCCATTTTCATTGATTGTCACTGTTTGGACAGCATCCAAAGCAATATCTACAGCAAGATCCGCCCAACGACCAACATATTTTGTACCCACACATGACCGAATCTGAAGAAATACCAAATTATGATTTGTTAATTATGACTAGTAAATCGTGGTATGGTAAATATAGAAAAAGAATAATACAAGGGCTTTAGCTACTTATCTTGGAATCTGAACTGTGTATGGGATATTGATTATTATATTTATTTTACTATTTAAATGAATAAGTGTAAAACTTTTTTAAGAACTTGAACTTGAATGTTTTGGATTTATCTCTATAGTACAGTTTACAGTTTTACACAGTCTATAATATGAAAAAAGAAATTGTTTTCTAGTCCAGGCTGCTTGTTTGTTGGATATCAATATAAAGTCCCCATTTGTATATTAAAATACTTTATAAATACACAAAGTTGGAAAGGTTCAAAGTTTAATCAGTAGTTTGAGAATTATGCAACATTTCATTTTACTTACCACTTCTTTGAGCTTATCTCTGTCATTCATATCAATGGGAATAGATATTTTCTCTTCTAATAACTTAACAGCATCTTCAAGAGCCTGCCTGTATTCACGGATAATGACTGTTGGGTGAATGTTCTGTGTTAGGAAAGGTTCTGCTACTGCCAACATTTCACCAGCAAGGACAATAACTGATGTGGTACCATCACCAACCTGAATACAAAAACATTGTAACATTGTTGAGTACAACTTTTGAAAGTTTTACTTAACTAGTATGCACAGGAAAGCGTAAGAAACAAATATCTATGATTTAGTAGTAAATCTAACATTGAAATGTGTCAACTTTTTATATCATATTGGAAAAAATTACACTAAAAAATAAGTAGAAAACTATGCACTCATGAATGTACAATAAAACATATTGTACTGAAAATCTATAAAAAATTCAACAAAAGCTGTTTTAGTAACATTTGTTTCATAGCAATAATGTGTTATTTACAAAGTAATCAACTCAATTACTAAAAGTTATCAAATGCTCTTACAAATTAGTATTATCCCTATGATTGTTCCTAAAAAGTAATAATAATCCAACAGCTGAGCAACAAAACTAACCTCTTCATCTTGTGTTCTGGCAATTTCTATCATTGATTTAGCTGCTGGGTGTTGTACGGTAATCTCACGGAGGATAGCATTACCATCGTTAGTCATCACTATGCCTCCCATGGGATCCATCAACATTTTCAACATAGCCTGAGGGCCGAGGCATGTTCGAATAACATCCGCTATTGTCTAAAAGAAAGATATAACATTGGTAATATATACTGTGAATCATACATTCAGGTGAAAATATATCGAAAACGAACTCAAGTAGCTGCATATACCTTCCCAGCATTGATATTCTCGAGCTGAACTTTCCGGCCGGAGTCACGTTTTGTATTTTGGCCTGTAACAATTATTGTAAAAATGAAAAATATCTAAGAAAGAAACGAAGCAATTATAAAATTTAACTATTCACTTACTCAAAACTAAAATTGGTTGCTGCGAAAACATTTTGTTTTATTATATGTGAGTAACAATAAGAAATAATTATTCGAGATTTTCTCTAAAATTTCTTTCTAACAAACTCACAAAATCGCGTGGTGACTAATGTTGCCAGTAATTATATTTTTTATTTGTACGTATAGAGTATAGATTTAAAAAATTGAAAAAAAGTACAAGTGAATTGTATATTTTGTGCATCTAATAATAATTTTCTCATATTTAAAAACTCTATTAACTAATTGAGGCCAACATAGATTCTAAAAAGCTCAAATAAAAGAAATTAAATATTTTACCAAAATATTTTTTTTATTTAAGTATGGTAACAACGTAGGTAGAAATTGTTGTTTTTTTTTTATTAAATCAAAGGGATACTATTCATACAACCTATGTTAATAATTGTCTTTTTTATTTAAAATGTATTGCAACTATTATAAGGCATAGTAAGATATTGTCAAATCAAGAATGTTATAATATTTTTTATGGTGATTATATATAGAGAAATTCGAAGGTTTAACTTCTATTGTAGATATTTTTTTCTCAAAACAACACCACTACAATCCAAAAGTATCCACAATAACTCACATTATTTTCTGAAAGCGTCTTTTAAACGAATGCCATCTATTTATGTTTCTTAGAACTACTATGTGCTATGCCATAATTACTGTTATAAACACAAGCAATCAGAAGATTAATTGAGATTTCAAACAAGCTTCATCGCATTCCTCGATAAAGCAATTGTTGATCGTCAAGATGTTCAAGACATTAGAAACAGCAGATGTTTTGATAAGCTGATGAAGCACATTGTGTCATGGTTATAAATCACAAACTCATTGGTTCTGGTGATAGTTAAGAGGTGGCACTGGTGTGCAATTTTAATCATGGTAATGGTTTATTTATCAACTAAACTAATAAGGTATATTCTAAATGTCCATATTCATTTATAACGACTTTTGAAACCGTCTTTTAGAGTTGCATGCGAGCAAGGCAAGGATGGCGTCATATTTAGGGTGGCTTCAGTTAAGACAACTACAGGTGTATTAACTCAAACTGTCAAAAAATTATACCCACTCGAATGTACTAAGAGAATAATACTCGCACTATTAGTATTAAATAGCAGCATAGGAGGAATAATGTTGTATAAAATTTTATTTTTATATTTTGGCCCTTGAAGAATGTTGAGGCCTCTTTTAATACCTTACTTTATGGTTAAGTTCACAAAGAAATATTGAGGCCTCTTTTAATACCTTACTTTAAGGTTAAGTTCACGAAGAAATATTGAGGCCTCTTTTAATACCTTACTTTATGGTTTAGTTCACAAAGAAATATTTTGAAGTAATAAAATATCCTTTGTTCTATGCCAAAATCATTGTTATGATTTTTCTTTTTCCACCGATTTCACCATACCACGGTGAAATTACAATATTTGAAGCATTTCAACCACAACAGCCCCAATCATGAGGCATGTCGCTCATGATTACCTACCAAACCAACTACACTTACTACTTTGTATAATTCACTGCCGAAAGATATTAAAGATGTGAACTCAATGAATATTTTTAAGTAAAGATTAAAAAGTCATAAGTTATCCAGCACTGAAGACATAACATATTCCAAAATTTTATAATTTAGACCATCACAATTTCTTAATCGAAAACTCAATGTAGTTATTATGTGACATATCCACTTCATGAAAGTGACGATAGTCTTAATGAGAAAAATTAAGATCTTTAAACCGAACTACCTAGTTGATATATCTCTTTTTCTGTAGCTCACACAGTAATTCGGTAATATTAATAAAAATAACTTTTTATTAATAATAAGCAAATATTTGTAATAGATACAGCAAAAATGCGTATTAATTACTAGTGGCCGCCAGCGACTTCGACCGCATTTTCCATTATTTCTTCGCTCCTAATAGTTGCAGTGTGATATTATATAGCCTAAAGCTTTCCTCGATAAATGATCTATTCAACACAAAAATTTACTATTCAAACCAGTAAATACTGGTTTGAATTGTAAATTTAGATTAGCTCGTTCAAACAAACAAATAAACAAACTCTTGAGCTTTATAATATTAGTATAGATAAACCGTAGTGTGCGAATGTACCAGTCTTAACGGCTCTTTTGGCTAGAGTTGCTGCCTCGTTAAGTGCGCCAACCGCTCGTCTCCCGTTTTCCCAACATTTCCCTTCACTGCTCTGCTCCTATTGATTGTAGCGTGATGAAAAGTATACTATAGCCAGCTCAGGAGTATGAAAAATAATTGTATCAAGTTTCGTTAAAATCCGTCGAGTAGTTTTTGTTTCTATAACGGTTATACAGACAGACAGACAGACAAAAATTTTACTGATTGCATTTTTGGCATCAGTATCGATCCCTAATCACCCCCTGATAGTTATTTTGGAAATATATTTCATGTACAGAATTGACCTCTCTACAGATTTATTATAAGTATAGATAACCAGCGAAAAAATCTGGTGATAAAAAAATCACCAAGAAAAGAATCACAAAGAAAAAATTAAACGAACTGGAGCCTTATCATCTCTAAGATATCTACCCTGCCATGTTTTTAGTATCTACAAAAAATCATTTCTGACCGGTGGAACACCAAAGTTGTTCACCTAGATGTTCCACGGTTAACTTTTTGTACCCCTGGATCACCAAGGTGTTCCATGGTTTACCTTTTTTATCCCAGGTTAATTCACACACACAAAATTCATTGGTATAAATTTTCTCATAATTATTTCTTCGAGTGTATGAAGATGATGGGAATCGAGACCGCTGTCTGGCTGTACTTTAAATTTATCTATTTACCTACCATCCTTTTGTCCTCTTCTTATGTACTGGCCACTTAACAATTATAATTAAATAAAAAAAATATTTCTAAATTATATAAATTGTTTTTGATTTAAAAATTATATAATGGAAATATTACGTGTATTTGGACAGCATCACCGTACCAATAATGTGACAGAGGGCTTCAATGCCAAACTAAACCGAGCGCTTAACAAAAACACAGTGACATTATTAAGATTATAATATTTTTTTTTTTAAAAAGTGTATTAATGTGCAACTTATACACGTTTTTCTAAAAAAAATCTTATAAAAAAAGAAAAATTTTACTCCAAGTTGATAACAATATTCTCAATATCCAAATTTAATTAGTTAATAAGAAAATCACTATAGAGGGTGCATTAGGATAGCTACGTAGTTAATTAGGCGATTTTTTATGCCAACCAAGCATTTAACACAATGTCTATTAATTAAAAGTAGAATATTCATCTCTGGAGTGAAGTCTGTGGAAGTCTAATTTTTGTCTCTTATTAAGTTGTTACATAACCAAAACAGATTTCTTTCTTGTTTTGCCCTGAAAAATTTTAATTTATCAATTTTAACACTTAGTTTATGAATTATTTAGGATGACTTGTATCTCATTAGATAAGTGAACTACGGGTACATTATTTTGAATAGCAGAATACCTAGGTAAACCAGGGTACAAAAAGTTAACCATGGAACACCTAGGTGAACTACTTTAGTATCCTTGGGTCAGATATGCAAAAAAATGAACGAACGAATGATAAATAATACATAAGAAGGAATATACATTTACAGCAATAGCTAGAATTTTTAAAGCTATGGTCGGTCCTCATATGTGTATTTTGGCATTCGTTTTTTGTCAAATAATACATATTATTGGCAATACAGTACAGCTGTACTAGCGGCAACGCCGTTAATTAAAAAGAAAAAGAAGATCACTGGATTTTTCTTTAATATTCATTTACTTAAGTATAGGTAGCGAAGGGATATTAAAAACATTACGAAAATTGAAGAAAACGTCATATTTAATATCATAAAGTTTTCACATGGAACAATTATTTACTTTTATATACATACATAAACATGATTGACTAGGAGATTGACTTTATTCTTAAGCAAAGTGGTGATAGTGACTATACCTATATGTATTTGCCTTCGTAGGGGCTACGCGAATTAACATAATACACCAAAAGGTATTAATTTTTTTGTTTTACAAGAGCAAATATCTATTAGATATAATTTAATCAATAATATCGTCTTCAACATCAGACGATTCCTCTTTAGTATCATCCTCTTTGGCAATTTTTGTGTCTTCGGCTCCTGAATTTAGATTTCCGTAAACTCTTTTTAAGTTCTTCATAATATATGAAGTGCCATTATGCTTCCCTGATTTGGAACCGTGCTCGAAATATTTGTCCGGCCCGTCAACATTAATATTACCAGATCGTACAGGAACAGAAAATGCTGACAAATGTCGCGGTCTCTGGCCAAAATCCCTTCCGAGCCGCTTGTCTAAAGTAGACTCATCCGATCGTAAATCTTGGTTGACATTCGAATCGAGACCTTCAGCGAGAGCTCTTTTTCTATCATAAATATGTCCAGAAACACGAAGATCAATAAAGAAATTGAGTGGATCGACTCCAAATTGAGGATTGTAAAGAGGAGGATACCACATAGGCGGAGGAGGGGGTAGAATCAAATTAGACGGTGGTACAGCTGGATCTACGGGATTCCTGCCGATACACGGAGCGGGCTTAGGCAGCTCTTCTGTGCCGACGTCCACGAATGTAGATTGACGACCAGGCGGGCCCGGGCTGCCGCTTGGTTTCGTCTGTTCAGACTTCGGTGACAATCTCCTAGGCGACGGTTCGCGCATCCTCGGTTGTTTCTCAACTGTCAGCTCGAGAGGAGCCTCTGATCTTGTCTCAGGATCTTTCTTTTCATCGTCATGCTTCGGCCAATCTCGGCGCCACTCGGTCTCGTTTTCCGCAAAGTATTTATGGGATCGACGTTTAAATCTACGATGGTAATGAGGTGTGCGACACCCGTGGCGTGCGTTCACAAAAGATCTGAGCATTTCACTGAAGAAGAATGCATGTGGCTGGAGTGGCAACGCACTGTAAAGGTATGGGGGTGTTGCTGCTAACAAACGGGAGACCAGCTCGGTGTTTCGTATGTCTCGAACGTGAGTCTTGGTGGAACCTTCGATAGGAGCCTTCTCCTCTTGAACGGCACTCATTTCCTGTAACAAATACACAAACTGTTAAAATTCAATTCAATCTGCAAATGTGAGATCTCGCGATCTGTGGAGATTTGAAAGGAATTGAATGCATTGCGTTGAGTGTGTATGCGAGGGAGGGCTTCTCTGTAAGACATTGACACGTCACGACCGTTATGATATTTAGCTATAATTTCATTTTAAAAGTATATAAAAAAATAATAATTGCTGTTGATTGTCCAAACATTGCCAAATGTAAAATAAATTAATATAATCTTAATTTATTTTACATTTGGCAATGTTTGGACAATTGCTATCAATAAAATAATCCGAATTGAAGAATCAATAAGCAGTAGCTACTAAAAAATATTTAGCTAATTTATTGCAAATCTACAGTTAGATTAGATTCTATTATATAGCTGTCATTAAATGAAATCCAATGAATCTTTAACAAAACTCAAAATAATTTTAGAAAATCTCAAAATCAATAGAGCGTTGGTTTCTAACTAAAAAAATTAGTTATATTTTTTCAATTTTCAATAAATATACCGCAGAAAGGTAAAAGAGTTAACGATATAATAATGCTATAATTCGATCAGTCAGATCGCAGTCGTCTCGTGTAAAGCAGCCAACCGTTCCGAGACACTCGCTCGGTGATTATCACTCTCAGCGAACAATGGCTCGCCGTCGTTTAAATATCGCATCCCATCTCACTGAGAGCGCTGAGATTTCACAGCTCCGAGAACGTCAAATGGAAGTAATCTCAACCATAGAGAACATTTTAATAATGTCTACGTTCGTGACTATGAAAATTATTTTAATGAACATTGCATTTACATCACAACGCTATTTTCATATTTTTTTCTAATACACATATGCATAAATATATCCACATAAAAATTGCTATCTCTAGCTCCTCCGTGCTTCGGAAGGCACGGCTGCATCTGCAATCTTTAACACCCGCACCAATCCGCTTAGGCTGGCGTGGCGATCTGTGGCCCATTCTCCCTATTCGATTTGTTTCGATTCCGTCCAATAGAAAAGGAGCCCCAGCAGTGGGGTCTTTAATAGGTATACTGATAATAATGTCCAACAGTACTTTACTTTTAAAAAATGTTGTACATCCACGGAGGCCTAGAGTTTAATTTAGTTTTGAGCGCGAGTCAGATAGTAGAACACGAGTGTTGCGCTAAAAATGTAGGCAACTGTGGTTGAGCCACACTTTTAAAAATACAAGACTTTTAGATTAGGGAAGGGAACAAATAATGAGGTAGAAACAGAACCATACAAATATATTTTAGTTTGATATTACCACTCCACGATTACGTCTATGTAGTACTCTACTTAAACATTTTTTTAAATTTCATTGCATTAATTTAGCTAGCTCGTGTATACGTCCAACTTCACAATCACAATGCGTGCATTCGTTTCACGGCGCTAAAGTAGTTTCGCGCTATGCACATATTTTTGAAGTTAGTCTGTCTACTATGCTGTGTGCATAATCCTCAACTATAATGTGTATTTTAAATAATAAAGTAACCTATAAAGAAAAAGTTGTGTTTGTGAAACATACGAGAGATCAAACAGCTTTAACGCGTTTATTTTATTTACTGTTTAGCTCAAGTGTAAATTAAATGAATAGTAAATCTTCGGTAGTGTAGATCCACATGGAGTTGCACTTCAAACTAGGTAAATAAAGAGTTATGAAAAAGAGTTGAAAATATACTTTTTAATGTTATCTCGTATTTTATTCGTTACTTTACTGGCGTTACTATCATGAATATAGTGTGAAAAAAAGTATTTTAGCGTCCTCTAGTTGTATTATAGAATACTAGCTTCCACCAGCGGTTTCGCTAGCATGGTCTCTAGGGAACTGTTTAGTGGGATTAAAAGTAGCCTATATGTTAATCCAGGCTTTGAATTATCTGTATATCAAATTTCATCAAAATCCGTTCAGTAGTTTATGCGTAAAATAGTAACAATCATCCATACATCCATCCTGACAAACTTTCGCATTTACTTATATTAGTAAAATATACTACACCTACATGATATAGAGTTTCATGCCCTATTTTAGAGTTTGGCAACCACGTGAAAAAGAAGAATCGTGGTGACATAATTTGATGGGGTCTAGTTCAAGTATGACAATATATGTTGTAGCTATTGCTGTGCAATCTGCATCACAAATTGCTCATTATTAAGTATAAGTATCGTTTTTTTTTTGTACTCATAATAGGAAACACAAACAAACTCTACCCCTGTTATTCTATACCAATTACCATGAAATGTCATCTGTCATGTTTCTAGAAAACCTGTTAATCTGTATCTGTATATGTTGCTGTAACATCCAATCGTCAGACTCGTCTGTCGACATCGATTTTTCGGCTCACCGCTGTTTTATTGGCAATATACGAATGACGGAAATACGCCTACGTCCGTGTCGTAACGGATTTGCATTGCTTTTTAATATTCTGTCAGAATTAAAGCGAATATTTCATAGCATTTCAGGTGTATATTTGAATTAATGATAAGCTTAAATTCAACCTTTTCAGGTGTTCAAGAAGAACCGAATTAGTAGCTTTTCTCTAACTAGACGTTTTGGTTGCTGGTAACTCAGTTGGGCAAGCAATGGCCCAGTTAATGAAAATCGGGTTAATGAAAATGTATACATTCGAGACTCGATCGAATTCAATGAAAGTGTTTTCCCAAAAAAATTACAGCAATAGATAAGGCGGTGTTTAGAATCAATCCGATATTCAAACTAATATTACGTTTTATAATTACATTTTGCATTCATTATACTAAAATACAACTCAGAAACCTTCTTCAATTAGCTTTAAATGAAACTAAAACTTTTAAATTATGCAATCAACCACAATGATAAATTATTGTTGTTAGATGCATTTATCAGAATGACGCCCAGTTACACAAACATCACTTAAGATATAATGATGATTTTAAGCTCTAATGAATGTTCTAAAATTGAAAATTTGTATCGATAATGTCGCATTAAACTAATGAGACGGACGTTAGTGCAACTTAGTGTGAGACGTTAAAACCTACTCGAAGCACAGTAAGCATCGCACATTCAAATGACGAAACAAAGATACAATCCAAACTCCACTAACAAAGGATTCCGTGGCACAGCACTAATAAGACGTCCCTCAAATTCGAATTAAACGTCACATTAACATACGGAACGAGAAATGAAAGCGATACATCGGATTTGTATGACAATGGCGACAATACATCGGGCGTTGGGAGGGTGGTGTGATATAACACAATAAATTCAGTGCGGCGTATCTCTATTCAAACAGTTGATGCGAGCTTGAAGCGGGTAGGCCGCGTCGTAAACGAAACCAACATGTCACCGATGTAGGGCGACAAGCAAATCACCAATATCAAATTAATCGTGAAAAAAGTTACAATAAGAACCGCACTTATTTTGTAATAATCTAAGTTTGTGATTTAATCTAATTCTGATATTAAATGCTACTTTGAGAATCGATTTTGTACTTTTCCAAGAATCCATGTTACTACAACTGATTATAACATTAATCTTATAGTAAACTAAGGTGATACAATCATTGCAAAAGCGTTAAGGATCCATATAAAACTTATTTGTTAAACTTCTTTGTATCATATTTAGAAATAAGTGCTTCTCGATGCATTTGAACTTATGTAACGACGTTGGAAATAATTGAGTCTTCTCCGATACATTTGTCAAAGTTTTATAAGTTTTGGTATATTTTAATTTTAGTTGATAATATCTTGATACCAAGATATTGTTTTTTTTATATGGCTACTTTGGTTATGGTGCTGTAATTAAAGTTAAATAATTTAATTAAATTAAAAATCTGTTTACATCTGTCATTGTTAATAAAAGAATCGTACCCGCAACTGGGTTAGGTTTTCGGGTCAGGTTCGAAATAATCATTCTATATTCTACTACTTACTGTAATATATATCTATATTTGAAAAAATATAAGCACTATACTGGTTCAAGCCTAAGTTTTTCATGTTACAAAGTAATGTAGCAAATATTTTAAAATTCGAATGACGCGTGATCACTCTCACTCATGATCACACTTCACGGTGTTCCTGCAGGAATTATGGAATAAAAATAAATATACAAGTCTTTTACAGAGATACATACACCCATATTATACATAGATAGATACAGCTGTGTGTAAAAATTTTTAGCCAACAGAGAAGCTACATTGCTTTTTTTTATGAAAACATACGAAAGATAAACCTTTGGTATTAAATACTACTTCGTTACAAAAACTTAAAAAACAGTCTAAAATAAATACGTACGTGTTTGTTTATTCGGGAATTATATTTGTGATTAAAAATAACAAAGGCAAAACACAGTATAGGCAAAATTAAAGAAAAAAAACGGGCTACTTTAAACTGTTCAGAAGGACAAATTGGCAGAAAGCATTGAGTCGTAAAATAAATTTCCGTTTGGACGTCATTTTATTTTTGTGCCTACAGTCGCTGACAGAATATTAATGTTCTCACATTTTAGTATCCTCAATTTATATTTATTATGTGAATGTAGCTCGGTGGCGTAGTGGATAAGCGCTGCGGCCCGCGATCGTTGTTGTTAAGCAACTTTCGCAAGCATCGGTCACGGGGTAGGTGACCAAAAAATTAGTATCTCGAGCTATTCCGCGTTTCGGAAGGCAAGTTAATCCGTTGGTCCGGCTGCATTTGCAGTTGTTAATACCCTCCAATCTGCATTGGGCCAGCTTGGAGGGTCATGGCCCATCCTCCTTAACCATCCATAAGGAAGGCCTGAGCCGCTGCAGTGGGGACGTAAAAAGGCTGATGATGATGGTCACAGGGTGGGCGACCATCCTTGACCATCCTGGTAAAGTCCTGAGCCCCTAGCAGTGGGAATGTAAAAGAGCTGATGGTGATGTGAATATATCTTATATTCCATCTTATATTTTTAGTTAAAAGAATTGACTCAATAAAAAAAGTAAGTTATGATTTTTGTTAAGCTAAGATTTTTA